GGTCCCCGGCTGGCGGGCCTCAGCCGTGCGGGTGGGGCTGTGCGGCCGCTTCTGCAGGCGACACTTGGTGGGAGGGAGCCTCATCTGTGTGGCGGGGACGGTGACAGTCCCCAGGTCTTAGGGGAACAAGGCCTCGCCCACCTGGTCGCCAGGGAGACTGAGGACAGGGCAGAGGCGCCGCGCTAACTCCTGACGTGGTGCCGAAGGCTGAGGAGGTCCCTGGGGCCAGAGCCGGGTCGCCGCCCGCTCCTCCCTCTGTGTTGGGCTGAGTGCCCGTGGCTGCGGCCTGTGGCCCAGGACGGCCTTGGAGGCCTTTGGAGACGCAGCTGGCGCGGAGCAAGGGGCTGCCGCCCCCAGGAGGCGGCCGAGGTCGGGCCTAAGCGGGGCCCCCACTCTGAAGCCATCACCTGCGCCGTCATGACTGTCTGCTCTTGCGCCTGGAAGATCACACTTGTGTGTGCACATGGGGAGGCCAGGGCACGCGTGTCTACACGTCTGTGCTCACGGGTGTGTGCGCGTGCCCAAGCAGGGCTGTGGTGTTGCGGTCCCAGCGATGTCCATGAACGCCGCGGTCTGGGGGGCTGGGGCCTCGGTCGCCTGAGTGTCTGACTCTTGATTCTCAGCTCAGGTGGTGATCCCAGGGTCTCGGGATCGAACTCTGAGTCCGGCTCTGCGCTGGGTGAGGAGCCTGCTCCCGATTCTCTCTCTCCCCCTCTCCCCCTCTCCCCTGCTTGCTCACTCTTTTTCTCTCGAAAAATGAAAACGAACCAGAACAGAAACAAAACCACCCTCCTGGTCGTCTAAGTGAGCAGCTGTGGGGAGCCGCCCTTCACTCTGACAATAACGGCAGCCCTGCCTGCGAGCGAGTGCCAGCTGTGGGCGTGTCTGTGCGCACCGGTCAGTGTGCACGTGCGGGGGCTGCGCTCACACAGCTGTTTGTACGTATACCTGTCTGCACGCCCGTGTCCCGGGGTGAGCGATTGCGTACGAATGTGCAACCACACTTGGGCCCCCGCGGTACGTGCCTCTGGGCGTGTGGACGTGCACCCATCTCTCTGTGTGCCGGCCTCCCATCCGTGTGGCTGTACGCGTGTGTGGGGCCGAGAGGGACAGCGGCCCGGAGTCACACCTGTGCTGGGGTCCTGTCCCAAGTGCGAGGGCAGCCGCCCTCAGGGGCCCTGTGGGCTGCTCCCTGTTTCCTGAGCACTGTCCGTCTGTCCACAGGCGTGCTGCTGGACATACAGAACTTTTTCCAGATCAGTGACCGCTGTGCTGGTTTGCTTCAGACAGGTAAGGGGTGAGTCCCTGGCTCAGGCCCCCAGGCCGTGCTGAGGAGGGGGCCAGGCTGGGCCCCGTTGAGCACCAGGCACGAAGGAGGGGACGCCGAGGAGGGTGGTGTTGGGCCACCTCACTGGCGTGAGGGCCAGTGCAGTAGGAGGAGAATGTGGGGCGAGCCCCAGGGCCTGCGGGTGTGAGCGCTGCAGAGGGACTGGGGAGGGGCTGGCGAAGGCCCCGAGCCTCAGGTCATGAGTGTGGCCTTGGTCCCTTACCCTGCTCAGCTCAGCTGGGGAACAGAGCCTGGCTGGGGCTGAGGAATGCTGACACGTGCCTCCGTCTATGGACCTGAAAAATCTGGCCCCGAACTCAGACAGACAGACAGACAGACATACGTACTTCCCACAGGTGGGGCTGGGCCCACGGGGCCTGCAGTCCAGCGGGGGGCCAGCCACCCCGTCCATCACAGTGGCACACATGTGCTCATGGTCACGGCACAGGATGCTCACGTGTGCGCACACCCGCGTGCACTGGCACCTGCGTGCCTCTCTGTGGCGCCTCCTGCCCGCCCCCCCCACCAGCCTACAACAATGGGACCCCTGGGGACACACGAACTTTCCCGAGGCTGCACAGGCAGAGCTCGGAGAGAGTCCACTCATAAACCCCCAAGCCTGTGTTTTTCTTTCCTAAAACAGACCTGCCTGAGAAAAAGCCCCTGGTTGGTCTTTCCCACCTCACCCCTCCTAGCAGGAATCTGTCCCTCTTCCCTATTCTGTTTTTTGTAATTTTTTTTTAAAAATTTATTTATTTTTTGAGAGACAGAGACAGAGCTTGAGCGGGGAGGGGCAGAGAGAGAGGCAGACACAGAATCCGAACCAGCTCCAGGCTCCGAGCTGTCAGCACAGAGCCCAACGCGGGACTCGAACTCACAGACCGCGAGATCATGGCCTGAGCCAAAGTCGGACGCTTAACCGACTGAGCCCCCAGGCGCCCCCCTATTCTGTTTTCCTTCGGTGCCTGGCCCTGGGGTGTAGAAGGCTCCAGGGTGCCGCACAGAGGGCACCCCTCCTGGATGCTTGGCTGCGTGGAAGGCTGTGGAAGCAAAGCAGAGATGGTGTCAGTACAAACCCACTGAGGGTGTTTCCTCCAGGCCGCAAACCCATGGCCAAGGGCCAAGTCTTATCTGTCTTCCTGCTGGCGTGACAGTCTCCTCTTTATCTGCGATTTAGAATTCAGAAGTTAGATGTTGTCTCAGGGATGGGTGTCGACACATTTATTTCAAATATCTTTGAAATATTTGATATCTTTCTTACAGGCAATCAGTCTGATCTGTTGGATTGATTTGGTGCATAAAGACTGGCTTGCTCATTAGAGCAATGTCCGTAGATGGCAGACCCTTCCCATTAGTGGGACGAACACATCTGTAGCCCCAAGGATTTAGATGAAAATAATAGTGCAAAAAATACAACAACGATGGAAATCACATCTTTAGCAATTATTTAAACTTAGGATGAAAAGGTTTTCGGTGTTGGCTGAAAACACGTGAAGGGGCACATAGTTCTACAAGCTTCTTCAAAAGGCCCCGGAGGAAAGGAGCCGGCAGATCACCGCTCGCGTCTCAGGGCCGAGGTGCCGGCCTTCCAGTCACTTCTGTAGCCAGAGTGAGGCCATCTCGGCTCAATACCCCCAACCTTCTAGATTAAACAGATAGTGGTAGGTGAGTCAAAATTTGCCTTCCCTGGTCCTCTCCCTGGTGAACAGGATTATTACTACACGGCCCTGATAAGTGAGGAAGGAGTCTGTGCAGGTGAGAGAGAGAGTGAGAGAGAGTACGGGCACATATGTGTGTGAGTGTGTCGAGGGGGTGTGCGTGTGCCCGTGAGTGTGTCCGGGGGTGGCTGAAGGGAGGCCAGCAGCACAAAGGGCATGTGGGGTGGACGGCCAGGCTCTCCAGTGACCTCAGGCGAGTCTTCGCCTTTCTGGGTTGCCATGAAATGGTCTAAGACCCACCCTGTGGGTGCAGCAGGGAGGGAGCCTCTGACCAGGAGAGGGCATGGCTGAGCTGTACGAGTGGGGCAGAGGGTGGGGGTCAGCAGTGGTCAGAACACCCCCTCCTGAAGGGACAGACTGGCTGTCGGGGTTAGTTCATCAATTAATAATATTTAGTGATGTGGCCTTTACCATGTGCCCGACACTGTCTCAAGTGTTTTGTGATATTAACTCACTTAATCGTTACAACAATCCCACAAGGCAGGTGTTGTTATTATGCCCATTTTACGCATGACGGACCTGAGGCACAGAGAGGCTGTGCGGCTTGCTGCAGGTCACACAGCTGGGATCACATCCAGGCAGCTTTCTGTGGAGCCCTTCTCTTAACCCCTGCTCCTCGTTATGCCCATGTGTCTTAGAAGTCATCTGAATTTGGGGACGCTATAGGAGCAAGACAGTGTGTGTGTGAGTGTGCCTTTGTTTGGGGGCAATGTTCTCCACTTCAGGGCATCTGTGGGTTTAAGGTGTGTATATCCTATGAAGGATCCCTGCCTCAAATCTCATAAAGTATTAGAAGATTTGGGGAAGCATTTTTATAGCCCTTGGGCAGAGAAGAAATGCATTAAGAAGACAAGAAACATTCCCTGCCAGGGGCGTGGCGGTGAATTTGACCATAGCAAGGTAAACTAGCTGAACTCTTCCGTACAAACTATAAATGCAGTTAGTAACAGCAACGGATGACATTTATTAGGCAGTTACATAAAGCTAATCACTGCCTTTTATCTGCTTAACTTTATTGAATCTCAATAACCTTCCACAGGAAGCACAATGCTGTCTCATTATATCGTTGATTCAAGGGGAACAGAAGAGTTAAGGAATTGGCCCAAGGTCACACAGCTGAGCAGTCAGTGGGTCAGGATGTGAGCCCAGAATTTGCATTTTAAATCCTTAAAATAAATGTAAAGGCCTGGGAGAAATTATTTGCAATTCCCACAAGGGCCCAAGAGGGAAATGGGCAGAAGGTATGAGCACAGGAACTGACATCAGGACAATGCAGATTAAAACATCCGCGAGACACCGTCTGTGCTTCAACCATTAAAAAGAACAAAAATAGGGGCGCCTGGGTGGCTTAGTCGGTTAAGCGTCCGACTTTCGCTTAGGTCATGATCTCGCGGTTCGTGGGTTCGAGCCCCGCGTCGGGCTCTGTGCTGACTGCCAGCTCGGAGCCTGGAGCCTGTTTCAGTCTGTGACTCCGTCTCTCTCTGACCTTCCCCTTCTCACGCTGTGTCTCTCTCTCTCCTAGAAATAAATAAAAAACATTAAAAAAATTTTAAAAAAAAAAAGAACAAAAAAAAAGTGATTGATCACATCAAATGTCCGCAGGGGAGCCGGCTTCGCTTCTGCCCGAGTGTAAATGTCTACAGCCTTTTCGGAGGCCTCTTTTGGGGGCAGCTATTAAAACTCTAAATGTCACTGGCACCAAAGACCATTCTCTGTGGAGTATTAGGTCGAACCATATTAAATTGCCGTATTTTTTGTAGGTCAACACTGGCCTAATTTCTGCAAGTGCGTTCGGCTCAACCCTACACCGGAGTGGGCGGGGCGTGGTGGGCGGGACGGAGTGGGCGGGGCTGGAAACAATGAGCCGACAAGTGTGGACGCTCATTAGGCTCGGGCAACGTCAATCATGCGCGCTCAGCGAATGCAGGCCCAGGCGTGGGGCGGGGCCTCGGGCGGAGGCGGGGCCAGGCCGCCCCGCGCACCTGCGGGAGCTGGAAGCGGCGGACACGCCCCCTCGGCGGGTGGAGACGGTTCAGGTGAGCGGCCGCAGGCGAGGGTGCCAATCCGCTAGGGCGCAGAGGCGCGCGAAACGTGGCGGTTTCTTTGTCTTCACAGCGTAGCAAACGCGTTCATTACTCCTGTGTCCGATTCAGAAGGGTTTCCTTCATAAAGTGGTACAAACGTAACCGACATTGTCAGAGGAAGGTTCTACCTTAGGAAAACCAGGCCTTTCCAGCCTCCAGGACAGACTGCGCTCGGTCTACGCCCGCAGGTCCGCACAGCAGGCCCGGGCCCCGCAGATGTGTCTGCACAGCAGGCCCGGGCCCCTCAGGTCTACACAGCAGGCCCGGGCCCCGCAGGTCTGTCTGCACAGCAGGCCCGGGCCCGGCAGGTCTGTCTGCACAGCAGGCCCGGGCCCCGCAGGTCTGTCTGCACAGCAGGCCCGGGCGGGCCTCCGTTGCCTGCGCCACCGTCCCTGCGCCTCCCCTCATCCCGTCCCCAGCAGGGGTGCGACAGCAGGCGTGGGGAGGGGGCAGCTCTGCAGAGATGGGGGCCGGGGGGGGGCTGGCGAGCACCCAGCACTGGCGGCCCCATCTCACGGCCCCAGGCTGCACAGCGAGCCTGCAGCAGAGCTGGGATTTGAGCTGGCCCGGCTCCCTACACCCCCTTCCCAAGTCCCCCGACTCGGGGGCCTCCACCCACTGCCAAGGTGCCAGCTTTGCGGCACCTGAGCCAGGCCCTCTGTGCGCCCACCACCATGGGGGGGTGCATGCGGCCCCTGCCTGTCCCCCCCAGTCTTCGTAGGTTGTCTGCTGCTGTCTGCACCTGTGTTCGGCTACCTGGGCGACCGGCACAGCCGCAAAGCCATGCTGAGCATTGGGATCCTGCTCTGGTCAGGGGCGGGCCTCTCCAGCTCCTTCATCTCCTCCCAGGTTGGTGCCCTCATCCCTGCAAGGCCCCTTGCACTCCCCCCGCCCCCCTTCCCGTTAAAACATGGGCGGGCCTGCCTCTGTCCATTCTGGGCTCCAGGCTGGCTGCAGCGGCGCCTTCCAGGGCCTAAGAGGACCCCTTAGACTCTCTCAGCGGGAGCCTTCCTCTCCTGCCTGTGGGGGGGGGGGGGGGGGGGCGGCTACTGTCTGGGGGGCCTGGCCTGGCCGGCCAAGGAGCTGCCCAGAAAAAGGGCTCCTTTGGGCGGTGGGTGGGGGGGGGGGTGAGGCAGTATCTGCAGGCGCCAGCAGGGGGCGCCCGTGTGATGTGGGGACCCGGGCTGGGAGGGTGGCGGGGTGTCTTTAAGCCCTGCTCCCCTCCTCTGCCCCTGGGGGTGCCTGTCACCAGGACCTGGGGCCTCTGACGCCGCTCCCTCTGGTTCCTCACCCCGAGGGTGATCTTGGCACTCACTGGGGTGTTATGCCTGCCTGCCCAGTACTCCTGGCTCTTCTTCCTGTCCCGGGGAGTCGTGGGCATGGGCTCCGCCAGCTTCTCCACCATCGCGCCCACCGTGCTGGGCGACCTCTTCGTGAGGGACCAGCGGACCCGGGTGCTGGCCATCTTCTACATCTTCATCCCCGTTGGAAGGTTGGTGCCACCCAAGACCCTCCTCCCCAGGTGATAAACTGAGGCCGAAAGGAGCCGGAATAGTCTGGGCTGGGGCTAGGAGGCATCAGACAAGGAGGGCTCCTTCCTTGCTGTGTCCCTTCCCTTCTGGGCCTCGGTTTCCTCATCTGTAAAGAGGGGGCAAGAACACTGGCTGATGGGCTGTGTTGTGGGTTCGAGGTAATAAAGATGCTTCCTCCCCCGTAGGACGCTTGGGAAGCCTGCTTGGGGAAGTGTGTGGGGCTGAGGCAGGCACCCCTGGGTGGGGGAGGTCAGAGCAGATTTGCAGTCCGGCCCCTGAGCTCTGACCAGGTTTCCTGGAATCTCCTGACTCAGGCGGGGCTGAGCCTCAGGTCCTCAGATAGGGAGACAGGGGCAGCGGTGCTGGGGAAGGGCCCAAAGCCAGAGGTCACCGGTGACCTGACCAAGGGCAGTGGACATCTGGGCCTCACATGGCTCACTTTTCCCGTGACGGGGCTGTGAGCAGCAGAGAGCCAGCCCCTTGGGGTGGGGCACGCCGGCTCAGGCTGGCCTTGCAGGCTTGGGCCTGGCCCCTCACCCCCGAGTGCCCGTGTCCTTGCCCTCCCCCCACTGCCCCTCCCCCGCCCACCCCCTGCCCATCCTCTGTTGCAGTGGCCTGGGCTACGTGCTGGGCTCGGCTGTGTTGCAGCTGACAGGGAACTGGCGCTGGGCCTTCCGAGTGAGTCCAGCCCCCTTTTTCTTCCTCTGATCCCCCTGGGCCGGCAGGGACTTTCCAGCCTCCAGTGGCCTTCGCCACTTGGCACAGTCGCTGGCGCCACGGGGGGCGGTCAGGCATTGGCAGCTTCAGACATTTGACGGAACATGAACCATGGAGGTCACGGCCCTGGACTCAGATGCTGGCTGCTGGGTCCGCTCATGCCGTGCGCTCAGGCGCGAGGTCTGCAACGGGGTGGAGAGTGCGCTTCCTCCTGGAATCCTTGGGGGGGGGGGGGACAGCCCGGGGCCAGGACGCCCCAGGCTGGAACTGGCCTGGCAGGTGGAGGTGGTGAGCACCCTGGTCCGGAGCGGCTCCCAGAACCCCCAAGAGAGTGATTACTGGACAATCCCAGGGTGACCTTGCTCCCCAGAGACGCCGCGCTCCTAGGGGCGAGGGGTGAGGGGCAGCCAGGGAATGAGCCTCCTGCCCCACGCCCAGGGCACAGGGCCTCCCGGAGCCTGGGCCACGTGGTTCTGCCGCTCGCAAGCCCTCCTGGGTTGCTGGGGTTTATACGTGGCCCTGACACCCCGGGCCGCTCGTGCCCAGGTCACGCCCTGCCTGGAAGCCATGGCTCTGATCCTGCTTATGGTGCTGGTTCCGGACCCTCCCCGGGGAGCTGCTGAGAAGCAGGAAGAGGTGGCCATGGGGGGCCCGAGGGGCAGCTGGTGTGAGGACGTCAGATACCTGGGGACGAAGTGAGTGTCCCTGCTCCTCCCTGCATGTCACTGAAAGCCCCGTCTGTCCTGGTATTGTGGACCTGCCTCTCTCCGCCTCCAGGGAGCCCTCCCTGACTGTCCCAGTGTTCACAGCCTTCTTCCTTCTCTGAGCTCCCACTCACCAGCTGAGGTGCCTCTCCTTCGCTAGGCGGCCCCCTGCGCCTGCCTGCCTATCGCTGTGACAGAATGGGGACCGGAGGGGAGGGAGGCAGGCGGAGTGAGGTCTGCCAGGGCCTTATCCCCGAATGACCTGACACTTGGAACCTCACTCCCCTCATTTATTCAATGGACATAATTCTCCCCGGGTTGCCCGGAGGATGCTGGGAGTTAATCACTCACCTCCGCAAGCCCCGTGGGAGTGCGTCCATTCTGTTCCAGGCATGGGCGGGGAGGCGGCCGCGTGACTGACTGGAATGTGGGGTGCGGACAGGCCCCAAAAGTCTTTGATACGGAGCCACGCGACCCCTGGGGGCACCGGGAGGAAGGTGGGGGGGCTGTGGCAGGGGGTCCGGAGCCGGGGGGGCCCGGGTGTCCGGGAGGGGGGAGCAGTGACGGGGGCAGGCGGGGTGTCAGCCAGGGCGCTTTCTCTTGCAGCTGGAGCTTTGTGTGGTCGACCCTTGGGGTGACTGCCATCGCCTTTGTGACTGGAGCCCTGGGCTTCTGGGCCCCCAAATTTCTGTTCGAGGCCCGTGTGGTGCACGGACTGCAGCCTCCCTGCCTCCAGGAGCCGTGCAGCGGCCAGGACAGGTGAGGGCCAGCGCACACCCCTCCCTGCCGCGGCCCGGGGCCCGGGGCCTCCGGGCAGACTGCAGGCCGGGCTCCCATCGGCCGAGGTCCCGTGGCTCCGGGCGGGTGGCCACAGGCGGCAGCCTCGCCCCTCTGGGCCTCGGCTTCTCGGCTCCCCGGCTGCTGTGGTCCGACAGGCAGCTGGCGGGGGGTGAGGCGTCTGCAGGCCGTGTGGGGAGACGTCTCAGCCTCCTGAGTGTGTCCCCCTCCCTCCCTGGGGCCCAGAGGGCGTCCTGTGATTTCCTCAACGTCCCAGGCCGAGCCGGGCCCTCTGCCCGCGGCTCCCTTCCTTCTTCCCACCCTGACTTCTTAAACCTTAACATTAGCTGAGCATCTCGCGTGAAGAACACCCTGAGCTATTGTAGTAACAAACCGGATTATTCCTGTTGCAAACGAGGACGCAGAAGATCGGAAAATTAAGTGGCTCGTCCAAGCCACGCACCGCGGGTGGCGGCGGCGGCAGGTTCAAGCCCGTCTGATCCGAAGCGGGCGCTCTTTGCGTCTGGAGACGCCGCTTACATCCCGGAGGCTTGCGCCTCTGCGCTCCTAGCTGGGAGCACCTCTGGGAGCACGGCCGAGGCGGGGAGGGAGCAGCGAATGCGTGAATGCCTGGATCACACGGGTCGTGATGACAGCCAGGCTGTCGCCTCCCTGGAGACGAAGACTGAGCCCTAGAAGCCCCCCAGCGGCTTGACCTGGGGACACAGGACTCGCACGTGTCTAGCCTTCCCTGGCTGTGCATCCCGGGGCAAGTCAGTCCCTTTGTCAGAGCGCGAGGCCCCGTGTCCAGACGGGTTCCCTGGGCCACATGCCCTCCCGGGCTCCAGGACGCCCCTTCCTGCCTCGTCCCCTCGGGGGCTGCTGGTGCTCCGTGGCTTGTGGCCGCGTCCCGTCTCCACAGCCACGGTCACATTGCCTTGACCCATCGTCTGCCGTCTCCCTCCACTTCCCTCTTACAGACACGCTGGCAATTACATGGGGGGCCCCCCGAATGGTGGGGGTGCTCTCCCCGTCTCAAGGCCCTTCATGCGATCACACTCGCAAAGTCGGCTGTGCCACGTAAGGTGACAGCCCGGGTCCCAGAGATTTGGGAGTAGACGTCTCGGGGGCACTGCCCAGCCCGCCAGAGCAGGTGGAAGGTCCCAGTGTTGGGGTGCTGCGTAGACCTCAGCTACTAACACGCCCTCTGTGGGCAGGGTAGGCCTCACGGTGAGGGTGCGGCCGGGGCAGGAAGCTTCAGGACACACGGTGCCAGCTTAGCCCCTGGGAGAACGTCCAGTGCTCAGACCTGGCCCATGTGGAAGGGGCTGTATGGGGGTAGTGAGCTTCCTGCCCCCTGGGGCATGTAAGGAGGAGTTGGACGGCTGCTTGCCAGGGCTCTTCTACAGAGGGTCAGCAGTGAACTTGCAGGACATTAAGGACCCTCCTGGCCCTGAGAGCCCGATCCTGGGAAGATCTCGTGGGTTGGGGGTGGCTTGGAACCTGGGTCTGTCCCCTGCACAGGGGCCAGTGGAGGGCCCTCCCTGAATAATCTATGCTAAGTCTCGGGAAGGTCTCCAGAGCCTGCCTGGGCCAGCTCAGACCAGAACTCCACGGTGGATAGCATTCCTCGGGATCGGGGTCACTTGACTGGGCTTGAAGGCTGGGAAGGTTCGCGGGGACCTTCACGCTGCCTAAGGACACGCTTGCGCGTCAGGAGGCCCTGGCCGAGCCCGTGAGGGGCTGTGTGACTTGCAGCAGGTCCCTGCCCTCTCTGGGCTCTGCACTCTCTCCTGTAAACCCAGGGGATGGGCCGCGTGTCCTAGGCCTGTGGGGTGGGTACGTCATCACAGAAGCCGTTTAGACGAAGGGCGGGTTTTGTGAGACTCCGTACCTGCGGCGTTCTTGCGCTCTGGGGGACGGCCCTCAGCCTCCCTTGCCGGAGCCATCCGTGCACTTCTGGGAACGTTTGGGCCGGGAGGGGATGCTGGCAGCCGGAGGGGGGGTGGGGGCAGTGGTGCCCCAGGCCGGGGGAGCAGGAAGCATGGGCGAGTCCCGAGATCCCGCGGTCATTTGTGCAGAGGGAGGGGTGGAGAGAGAAGAGCCAGATGCCGCACGGGCAGCGGGGGCCGGTCCACGGAGCCGGCCTGAGGACAGCAGGGGCCACCGATGGCTGGAGAGGCCCTGACTAAATCCGGCCTGCGTGCTGGTCAGCCCCCATTTGAGCCCCTTTAAAATTTTTTTTTTAAGTTTTTTTTAATGTTTTTATTTATTTCTAGGAGAGAGAGAGAGACAGCGTGAGCAGGGGAGGGTCAGAGAGAGAGGGAGTCACAGACTGAAACAGGCTCCAGGCTCTGAGCTGGCAGTCAGCACAGAGCCCGACGCGGGGCTCGAACCCACGAACCGCGAGATCATGACCTGAGCGAAAGTCGGACGCTTAACCGACTGAGCCACCCAGGCGCCCCTTTGCGCCCCTTTAAGAGGAGGCTTGGGAGGACAGGTGGGCACCCGGAGCCTGGCTCTGCCGCTGCCCGTCAGCTGAGCAACCTCCGTGTAGCCTTCCTCGGCCTCCCCTCCGCGTCTGTCCGCCTGGAATTCCGGGCCGGGCCGACGAGCTGGTCCACTCACACTGCCCTCTGGCCCTCCAGGTTCGCTGCTGCTAGTGTAGACTAGGGCGCGCCTGCTTCTGCCCTCCAGGGACCCACGGGCGAGTGAGTGGCCTTGATGGCAGACACACGGAAGCTGACCTGGGAACTGGCGGGGTGAAGGCATCGGCAAGGGGACGGAGGAAGGCGTCTCCAAAGAGGGGATGTTGCGATGGGTCGTGAAGGCTGAGTAGGAGTTCGGTGGGCGGGAAAGCGAGTGAAGAGGGTCCAGATGGAGGGAAAAAGTATAAAGTGCGGACAAAGCCAGTGTGGGCGCAGAGGCTGGAGCTGGACGATGGGGTTGAGCTCCGGGTCAGACCACGGGGGGCCACACAGGCTGCAATGAGTTGGCACAAGACCCAGTGGGGGTCTGATGGCTGGTGGGTCCCGGAGTAGAGGGGCGGCCGGAGACCTCCCCCGGGCGAGGCGGGGGTGGAAAGGGAGGGTCCTGAGGAGGAAGGAGGGGAAGGGCCCCACAGCCACACCCCTGTCGGCACCGGGGCCTGAGCCCAGGCCAGGGCGGCCGCACCCCCGCCCGGCGCCCACCCCTGCTCTGCTCTTTCCCATCAGCCTGATTTTCGGGGCACTGACTGTCGCGACCGGCATCGTTGGAGTTGTCCTGGGGGCGGAGGCTTCACGGAGGTACAAGAAGGCCAACCCCCGGGCCGAGCCCCTCATCTGCGCATGCAGCCTCCTCGCTGCGGCCCCCTGCCTCTGTCTGGCTCTGGTCCTGGCCCCAACCACGTTCCTGGCCTCCTATGTGAGTGATGCCCCCGGGCGGTGCGGGGGGCGGGGCGCCCGTTGGCGCGGGCCGACGCTGTGCCAGGTTTTACGTACATTATGTGGATGGCTCCTTCCAGGGCGCTCGCTACCCCCATTTTACAGATGCATAAACTGAGGCTTACCAAGAGTGGCACAGCTAGGGAGGAGCAGAACTGGATTTGAGCCTGAGCCTTTCGACTCTGAGCCACCGGTTAAGGCTGTGACGGGAGGCGGTGGGGCTCGTTTGTTCCTGGGATGTGCCCTGAACCCCAGGGGGGCCAGGGTGACGGGTGAGGGGGCGAGGCCCGGATCGGGCGTGGCCCGTGCCGGCAACGCGGTAAAGGCGTCAAGCTGATGCTTCCTCGCCTTCCAGGCTCTATTCCGTCACACCCCCCCGTGCGCCTCGCAAATGGCGGGGCCCACGCCTGCCGGCCTTGCTGCGTCCCCGCTGCAGGGACACGGTCCCCCTTGAGCGCCCCGCATCCTCCTCCTGTGAGGCCCAGCTCCTTCTCCAGAAGCCTTTCCAGACCGTTCCACGCCATGTCAGAATTCGCCGTCCCCGCTCGGGCTCCACGCGTGTTTGGGTCCCTCGGGCTCCGGGGTATGTGGCGGGGCTGGCGCACGACGGCCACACGGCCGTGCTCAGCAGCGGCCCGGCCCCCGAAGCCCCCGCCAGACGGCCTCCCCTCCCCACCCTCCCGTCCCAGGCCCTGGGGACCCCCACGGCGACACAGATGGCCCTGCACGTGCGTGGGCCTCACCGGGCAGACGAAGGTCGGCCCCCTGCCCACGGCTGGAGCCCGGTCGTGCCCGTGACCTGGTCCCCGAAGTCAGCACTTTGGTCCTGCCTCCGGATCGTGTCCGTCCAGGCCCGGAAGCTGCACTGGGGGGAGGGAGCCGTGGTCGCTGGGTCCTTCTCCGCCCACCTGCGCCCTGGTCCCCGGCGGGCGGGAAGGACGGCCTCAGACGGGACACACGGTGCCGGGCCCAGAGCTGGCTGTGCCTCCTGGTGCCGGAAGCCCACACGCTGCTGATTCCTGTCTTGGGGACGCTCTTTGGAGCCTGGCATTGGCAACGTGACGCGGTCACCTCCGTCTTCCACGGCCTCCCGCTGTCGTCTCAGCCGCCCCACCTGGACCCGCCGCCGGGCCTCCCCGCTGTGGTCCTCAGGCCTGTCTCCTCTGCCTGGCGTCTGTCCCCCCCGGATGCCCTCACGGGGGCCTCGGGCTGGCCCCCGCGCGCCCCTGGGTGACACGTCACGGTGCCCCCGCGTGCCCGGCGTGAGCTCCCCTCGGGCGGCCCGAGCGTTCCCTCTACAAGCCGGGGGGCGGGAGGGGCGTCCTGGGCCAGTGGCTTCCCTCCCCGGGTCCTCAGGTCGGGTGGGCTGTTAGCACCGTGTTCTGCGCGTGCTCCCGTGCATCCTCCCTGAGCCTCGTGGGGAAGGGCTGTCTCACCCCCACTCACAGATTGGAAGACTGAGGCCCGGAGACAGAACACAGATGGTGGGACGGACAGAACCAGAAGTCAGCCTGCGGCTCCACGGCCTGTGTCCTTCGTGCCGCGCTGACCCTGTCGCCCCGGGGGAGGCACGGAGACTGGCTTACACCAGGCGCTGCTACGTGCCCGGGTGCTTCCTGGCCTCCGGCCAAGGGAGCCGCAGCCGAGTGGGGACAGCGTCCCGGGTGCTGGGGGCCGAGTGGGCCTGACCTCACAGCGGATGGAGGCCCGTCCCAGGCCACCCTGCGTCCGCCGGGCCCGGCCCCCCGCCAGCTCTGCTTCTGCCACCACCCTCCTTGGCTCAGGGAGGCGGCTCCTTGGCTGTGTCAGGGGACACAGCTGTCCCCCCCCTGCAGCTGGCGCGTCTCCAGGGCCGGATGGCTCGTCTACAAGTGACTTTGCGTCCTGGCTGACAGAGCCGGAGAGTCTCTCCTCTGGGCCTGCTGCAGGGGTGAGGGGCTGCGGGCGGACAGCAGGCAGGCCCGGGGCGCGTCCTTTGGATGCTGGGAAGCGGCTCCCTGCTGTGACCTGTGTGTGGGCCTGGCGTGGGACCCGGCGGCACCAGGCCGGCAGCCAGGCTCCCGCCTTCCAGGAGCAGCGCGGAACCTTCCGGACCTCCTGAGTAGAAGCCCCTCCGTGGCGCCGTCTGTGCATCTAACCGATGTTCTGGCTTGAGACTCGGGCCCTCCGCCCGACGTGCTGGCTCGTGCCGTCTGCCTCCCTCCGGGACGGGCGCCAGGAGCCCCTTCCTGGTCTGCTCCCCTTTCCACCGCCAGCGACACCGCGGACATTCAGGGGCCCCAGGCGCCTCTGGAACTGAGCCCAGCTTCTCCCGCGGTGCTCGAAGCCCCTCGTGACTCCCCGACCAGCCGTGTCCCCTGCAGTGTGACACCAGGGCGCCTCCTGGTACCCTTGCCCTTCCAGGCAGCCCTCCCTCAGCTCCCTCCCCACCCCTCCTCCAAGGAGCCCTCCGGGATTGCGCCCTTCCCCCCAACTCCTGCTCTCTGCGAGGTCTTCCTTAGGCCACGGTTCCTTATGCTCTGACCCCTGTCCCGGCCTAGGGGCCTGGGGGGCCCCATCTTCCTCTGCTCTCGGCCCGAAGCAGCACCAGGCACTTGGGGGTGGGTGTCACTGCTTGGTGAGTGGATGGCTGTGCAACCAGCCACTCGTATCGTTCATTTATTTTTTTATATTTCATTTAAAAAATTTTTAATGGTTATTTATTTCTGAGAGAGAAAGAGACAGTGTGAGCAGGGGAGGGTCAGAGAGAGAGGGAGACACAGAATCCGAAACAGGCTCCAGGCTCTGAGCTGTCAGCTCAGGTCGTGACCTGAGCCGAAGTCGGACCCTCAACCGACTGGGCCCCCCAGGCGCCCCAACAAATCCTTCTCAAGGGCCTGGATAGCGTGTGCTGGTTTAAGTGCCCCGGATTCAGCAGCGGATAAGAGACAAAAACCTCTCCGTCTTTGGGGGGTGCACATCGTCGCCGAGGGAGACGGTGCAGTGCTCGGGATACAGGGGGGATACAGGGGTGGCGGTGAGATGGGCGGTGTGGGGCTGGATTTACCGGCGTGGCCGGGCTCCCGAGGAAGTGCTGTAGGCGGCCGGGGGCGGGGGCGGGGGTAGGGGGGCCGGCCGGCACTGTGGGGCCGCGAACAGCGTGGTCTGTGCGGAGGGACAGGCAGGCGCACAAAGGGTGGCGGGGCCAGGGGCTCAGGGCCCGTGGGCGGCTGAGGGCGGGGGCTGCACTGAGGAGGGGGCGTCTGGCTCCTGTTTGCTGCGTCTGCAGAGGGGCCCTTGTCGACGCGCCCCAGCGCGCTGCCTGCTGCGTTGGCCGGCCTGGCATGAGCCTCCCCGGGCGGGCGGGCGGGCGGCCTCGTGTGCGTGGCCGGGTGTCTGTGCTCACCCGGGATGTGGCCTCCGGTTTTGGCATCAGGGGAACGGCCCGTGGAACGTGTTGACAAGTGTTTCTTCTTTGATTTTCTGGAAGAGTTTGGGAAGGACTCGTGTTCATTCATCTTTAGACGTTTTTAGAATTCACCAGTGAAGCCATCTGGTTCTGGGCTTTTTGTTTTGGGAAGTTTTCTGATCACTGACTCAATATTTACTTGTTATAGATCAGTGAAGGCTTTTTATTTCTTTTTATGTCATTTTTGATAGTTGGCGGCTTTCTGCGAATCCGTGCCTTTGTCCAGGTTTCTGATTCGTTGGTGTGTAGCTGCGGGTAGTGTTCCCTTTGCCCTTTTCCGCTCTCGGTTCCGTGGGGTCGGCGGGTGGGCCTGTTCCATTTCCAGTTTTAGGAACGTGAGTCTTCTGTTCTTCCCCCCTGGTCCGCGTCGCTAAAGCTCCATCCCTCGTGCTGCCAGCTTTGGTTTTATTGATTTTCTCTATTGTTCTGTTATCGGCTCACGTTTCGTGGAATCAGTCCAGCTTCTGTGGAGATACGTGTGGGCGCTGCTAGACTGCTGCCCCCTCCCAGCGGGGCTGCCGTGGGCCCGGCTGCTGCAGTGGAGGTGGGTGCAGAAGTGCGTGTGTCCCAGGGGGAGTGGGTGGGGCCCAGGAGAAGTGGGTG